TTATCAGTTATTAAAGCACATTTTACATTTGAATAAATGCATAAAAGTTAAAATTATATTATTGTCGGTTTGTATTTCATAATTCACACATTTTTATTAAAAATTTCTTGTTCCATTCAAATTGATCTCCGATATTTCGGCGACATTTTCGGTATTTTTAACTAATCTTTACAGGAAAATAAAAAGAAAAATAAAACATCTGTTAAACTTTTCTTTTTTGAAATGAAAACAAGCATAGATTATGTTGGTTTGAAAAATTAATATTACATATTTTTCATTTGCACTCCATACCAGTTCAGTATTTAGCATCAAATTAACTCGATATTACTTAAGTTATAATATACTTTTGTCAATTCAAAACAAGTTCATTATGATAAATTCAGATGTAATTATTATTATCGGTTAAATATACTAATAATAAAGGTACGTAGTAAGTTAAGTAAAATTAATATTTAAAAAATTTATTTAAATACGTAAAAAAAAAAATTACATATATAAATAGTGATTTTAGTTTGTGATATATTGGCTAATTATTGTGTTATTTTTTTCAAGTATGGCAGAAGAAATTGATAATGTATTCGAGAATGACCAGAAGTACATCCGGTATAAAACCAAACGACACGAATCGGTGTGTGTGCAAGGAACGCATCGCCTGTAAAAAGCCGAACATTTTCAAAACCAGTCGACACGAATCGGTGTATGTGGAAGGAACGCATCGTCTGCAAAAGTAGACCGTTTTCAAACCGGTCTACAAAAATCGGTGTGTGCACACCACCGAAATCGGTGTATAGAGTTCGAAAGGCAAGCGCACTATACAGGACGGGGCTACACTCTATGGGACAGGTGGTTCGTAAAAAACTTTCCTACGTCAATTTTGCGGGAATGGCTTGAGCGGAAATGCTTTCGCGGACTTGTCGTTCAAACCTTATCGGTGAAGTAGTTAATAAAAAGCTTTCCCACGTAAACCTTGCGGCAATGGTTTCCGAAACGGTTTGCGCGGAAATGCTTTCGCGGTCAGCCTATGGAAAGTGAAATGGCAACCTTCTTTGCTATCTGGGCTTTAACCAGTATCATGTTAAAATTCGACCTCGGGATTCTCATAATTCTCCACTTATAAGAACCTTCCCTTTTTTTTGCATTATGTCCTTGTGTGTATCTGAACATCATAACTCGAAAACGAAGCAAGCTAGATGGATAAAATCCTGCACACGTTCTTAACACCAAAACTGTAGATTCAAATTTTCAGTCAAATCTGTCTTCGTATAGGCTGTCTGTCAGTACGCGTGTAAACATCGTAACTCCAAAACAGAACTAGCTAAATGGATAAACTTGGCATGCCGTTTTTACATTAGGAAAAGCCTTGCTCTTAAAATTGAGAAAACATACCATAATAATATTGTATAATAAAAATAGTTTGTTGTGAATAAGAAATGATATAATCCATTGTTCACACAATGAAAAAGTTACCCTTAAATTTTCACCCCAAGAATATTTTTTCCCGGTCATAAATTTCAAATTACATAGGCATTAATATTTAATTTTGAGATCAGAAAATAAAAAATCTCAAGGCCAATTTTATTCAGGAGGAATAAAATTGGCCTTGTGACGACAACATCTATCCATATTTCCAAAACATTTGGGATAACAATTCTACATAATTTTCGATACAAACGAACTCTCTATTTTCTCTGTGTCATTTGCTGCTGTCAGTGCTTTCAAAAATTTTTTTAATTGATTATCTGAATGTAAAATAATCTGGACTAGAAATTAACTCTCATATTGTTTTTATAGGCAACTGTGACAATTTAAATCTTAGAAATAAATTTATCGTAGGAGTTGATGATATTCATCTAATATTTATGTTACATTAATGAAGTTTTCCACTTTTTAACCCTTTTGAATGACATTCGTGTTTATCTGTAAGGGAATATATTATAAGGGAAATGTTTGAAATTTTAAGCATAAAAAAGTATCCATCAGATAGTAAAATTCAGCGAATCATATTTTTAGGCTATTTTCTTCATTTGGTAAAATTTTCTAGACGCGTGTTTATGGTTCATTTAAGTATTATTAACTTTTACGAGATTGCAACAATTTCCTCCATAGAGGACAATGAAAAGAAATTAAAAATTATTCAATTAAAGTTAAAAAAATAAACCTTCAACACCGAATGCTATGAAATTTCATGGGATGCAATTCAAGTCCATTTCCTTTAAACTTTGAAAATTTCAAAATTCTGTTTTATTTTTAGTTACGATTTTTGTCTCGCTAGAAAACGAAACTAGATCACAGTGACTACCTACCTACTCTGAACTTCCAACACATCGATATTTCCTTTTTAAGCTGAAATAAAAATAAAATACTAAATCCAAAATCAAACGGCACAGTAATCAAGCAAGATTTTTTTTTTGTTTTTGAAGCAAAATTGACATGTGAGCACTTCCTTGTCAACTTCGCTACGAAGAAAAAATAAAAATAATAAGGGCTCTTGCAATAAAAGTAGTCATTTTAATTTCTATTTTAAATTGATCTAAAATGTCGCAGTACATCCTATAATAAGAATTATATTTTATTAATATATGCTGTTGTGATAAAAATTCGAGAAGGAAGAAATATGTCTTCAAGTTTTGTTCAATTATTTTAATGCTGGCATTTTTACTACTTTAAAATTTATTAATACTGCCCGGCATTATAAGCATAATAACCCTTAAATGCCGAGTGTTGCCTTTAAGCAGCATACCCAATTTTGTCTTCTAAAATCTTGAGAATAAAACTGAAGCTCTAATACCTGTTGTTGCCAACAGGATACATACTGAAATCTTTATTAAATCAATTTACAACATATACAAGGTGAATACTTAATTAAGGGCCACGCTCCCTTAACTTCAGAACGACGGCAGCTATCGTCATGAAAGTAGTATCTAGGTGTAGTAAAACGTCTGTGCGATGTGCACTTACAGCGCCACCTGGTGAGAAATCCGGAATTAGCGCTCCTATCTCAATAGGGGGAAAATGTCAATTACAAAGTTGTAGAGCGTTATCGATTTAGTACAAAAAGACACATAGTGCATATTAATACTGAGAACGGAACATTTCAAATGCACATTTTATCGTTCGCAACTTCCAAAACTACATCGCAAAACGGGTTAAAAGTATAAAAAACAATTAGTTATCACAAATTAGTTTATTTCGGTGTTCAAAGTGTTCTCCGTCATCTGCAATACAGATTTGAGCCCTTGTTTGAATTTCACACTGTACACGTTTTAGTATGTAGTTGGTTCACTACCACAAGCAACAGTAATACGTCAACGAAAGTCTTGTTGTGTTGGCAGAGAGGTCGCATACACCTATTTGAGTTATTAGCACAGGAAAAAGTATAATAGGGTCATTTTTTGACCAAAAAAATAACTTTTTCTTCTGTTGTCCATGTCCTGTGACGTCACAGTTTCGGAAGTCGCGAGCAAAATGTGCATTTTATGCTTTCTGTTCTTAGTATTAATACGCACGAGGTATTTTTTTGTACTAAATCGATAATGCTCTACAAGTTTGCAATTGACATCCCCCCGCCCTATTTTGTACCGTTTTCGAGATAAGAACGCTAACTCCGGAGTTTTCCACTAGGTGGCGCTGCAGGTACTCTCATCGCATAGCGCATAGACGTTTTATTATACCTAGACACTATTTTCATGACTATAGCTGCCGTCGTTCTAAAGGTAAAGGTGGGTGGACCTTATTTAAGTGGGCAGCCTGAGTGCTGATAAAAAAAAAATTAATTGATATTTTTCGCTTGAGGCTGCATCTTTTTATCTTTGTTTGTACGCTTGAGAATACCATATTTTATTTTACAACGTTGAAGGAAATTCCTTATCGTATTATTATTTATCAAAATTCGTTTTTGTTTGACATTATAGAATTTTATCAAGGAAATTTTCTTCTGAAATATAAAGCCCAGTGTAGTCAGTTAGTAACAAACTGTTTTTTAGCCATAAATCATTCTTAAAACAAAGTAGGATTTTTTAAAGTATTTTTCCCATGTTTTATTCAAGAAATGAAATAAAAAAACATTTTAAAATCAATTTTTAAAAAATCGGGCTTTTAAGGGATAATATAGAGGGTGTCAGAAAGGCATCTTTATACTTTTAAAAGATCATTAAAAATAAGCTTACAAAGATATACCATTTCGGTTTTTTTTATTCAATAAATAAAGGTGTTTTTTTTTTTCAATTGAAGTGAACACTGAATATCTTCAGATCATCGATATTGTCATTCTCGTTTCAATATGGCTCCGCAGCTAGAAATGGTGCAAGTTGTTAAATGGTATACCGAATTTATATCTGTAACGCAGGTACAATGTAAATTCGGACTACACACAATAGAAATTAATGGCGGCGAGTTGATGGGGCAGTCGCCCCTCTACTTTTTCCGGAAAAATTGAATTTTTATTTCATTTTAGATGTCTAAAACTAGGAATTATAAAAAAAGCGATAGTGGGAAAGTTAGCTAATTTTTAACTCTTTTGTTGTCTACCCCTATACTCCCTGGTACTTTTAGAAGTCTATAAATGTTTTCCTCCCCCCTGCACTTTTAACTCCAAATCGCCGCTACTGATCAAAATCCTCCTCCAGGACAGAGCGCCGCCCCATGCCCTTGTGGCTGATGCCATTACAGCAACTGAACCTCCTTCAGGACAGACAATGTATGAATGTCATTACAGATCTAGGACAATGCGTGGTTTCTTCAATGCTTCATAGAACCTGGTTGGGAATCTCGCACTGATTTGATGCATTGCGCGCAATTAGTTTCGTTATATTAACGTCTCCTTTTGAAGCAAATCAAGGGCTATTTGGGAACGGACTTCGTAATTTTGAACTGCGGTCAGATGACGACACCCGAGCTGGCACTCCCCTCTCCAAACTTCCGCATCACACCAGTTGAAGAACTTATGTCCCTCTACGTATGATTTAACTTGCAACAGGCCCACATACACGGTGGATCTTCAGTGGAATCAGGTTTCGAACCTGGAACCTTCGGCCCACCAAGCCGAAACCCTACCATTAGGGCACCGTGGCCCATATTTGCGCGCAGTTAGTGGTGCGAGCATTGAATTTTTCTGTTGTCAAAAAAAATTATGTTTTCAGTTCTTTTGTATTCAATAACACTTTTTTTACTCAATACCAAAAAAAAACATGAGTGCATATATTTTTTTTCTTTTAATAATTTATTGGAAATATAAAGATACTTTTCGGGCATCCTGTACTAAAGAGATTCTGGAATCTTAAGTAGAAAGTAGACCTATACCTTTATATTGTACTGCCAAACTGAATAATTTATTGCATTTTGAATCAAAAAGCAATTACAGTAAAACTTCGTTTAATTGACAGTTTCCGTCACTGTTTAAGAAGTAAAAAGTAACGTAGGAGTATAGTATTACAGTATACAGTGGCGAATCCAGGATTCGGGTCTGGGGGGGGGGCTGAGGTCATAAAAATTTTGTATCGTAGTGACGAATGTCAAACCTCATGCCTTATGTAAACAAAAACACTTGAACTTTATAGGCTTTCCTCTCCTGACAATAAGAATAATAAATAACGCTACAATACTTTCGATAATTTAATAAAAAATACAATGAAATAGCTGGCGAAAAAATGTTTTCGACCGCGCCAAAGCTACAAGTGCAAATGGAATGACTAGAAAAGTAGGAAAATTTTCGAGCCTGTCAAGTCAGAAAGCAATGTTGTCACTATTTTATTACTATTCTTTTAAAATGAAAATTAAGATCAAAGAATTGTAGTGATTTTAAATTAAATCAAGAATTTTGTTTAGCTCTGGGGGGGGGGTTGCAGCCCGATAGCCCCTCCCCTGGATTCACCACTGACAGTATACATCAGTACATTACTGCTCTTATATTGAAGTTTATATTGATCGTTTTATAAAATTAAGTACATTTATGTATTATTCACTTTTAAAGAATTTTATTTCAATTTTCGTGTCAAGCCAGCCGTGACTGTTTAATTCGTTACTGTACTATATACGTATTAAGAAATTTCTGCTATCCGTCACATTCCTGGTCTGGACGGTGATGGTTAATCGAAGTTTTACTGCATACGTCGTTTTAGAGTGGTCTAAAGAGGTTTTATTGTACCAGTTTCACTTTACACTTTAATCGATTTCAGAAAAAAATTTAAACTCAATATAAAATCTTCTGATATGTTACTGTGACGCTAAATAAATAAAGCGAACATTATCGGAAACGCTCTCATAATCAAGTAGGTAATTGATAATCTTTATACAGCTACTAATTTTCACTCAGTTTCTTTATCAAAACTTTTTAAAAATAAAAACTAACTAAAGAGGTAGTTACCGACAATATCATGTCAGAGCAAGTCATTTTATCTGCAGAAGATTAAGGGCGAAATCGGAGAGAATCGCTGAAAGATGATCAATATTTTCTGTCCAAACATAAACCAGGTTTCATATGCAGATGCGTTGGTGCGAGCGGAAGTTTTCGAAGAACTCTTTAAGGCGGCTGATCATGACACTATTCGGTTTATCCGTGGAATTGATCTGATATTTCCGCATTATTCGGCGAATGAACTCATCATTCATATTCTTTTAATAGATCAGAGATAATTTCTGAAATTTTCTAAATGAATTTTTATAGCATATTCCACATACTTGACTGTTTTCTTATGCAAAAAATAGGTGATGTATTTGCATATTTTTGGTAAGGTATTTTTACTTTTGCTTATACGAAGTGTAGAAAAAGAAAGTACAATGGACTGTCCTGCAACGCTTGGGATACGTTTCGCATAATAGGAAATCGCTCTATACGTAAGGTTACATCAGTGGCGGCTAGTCGGGGGGGGGGGGGCAGGCGCCCCTACTTTGTGCTGGAAAAATTGAATTTTTATTCCATTTTAGCTGTCTTAATTTCCTGTAGACAAGTATTTATTGAAGCGTTTACAGATGAAATTATACCTTAGATATTTCTTATTTTAATTATTTTCTACTTTTTAGTCTTTAATATGCAATTCATTATTGTAAACAAAATGAATTGCATATTAAAGACCAAAAAATTGAAAAAAAATTATAATGATTTTTTCTCAATTTCACTAAAAGGTGTCGCCACTAGTATGGATTAAGTTTAATGCAATTCATCGATTCACTGATAATTAAGCTCTAAAAATATTAAAATAATGTACCGCAATCTAGAAATCACAAGTGTACAAAATAGTAGAACGGAAAATACCTGTAAATAATGTGTTATGCGTTGCCACAGTACTTATAAATAATGTATCATCTGTAGTTACAGTACTTGCAAATAACGAATTATTCGTAGGTATAGTACCTGCAAATAACGAATTATTCGTAGGTATAGTACCTGCAAATAATATTTTATCCGTAGGTACAGTACCTGCAAATAACCCCATCTTTTTAATAAATAGTCAGCATCACTGTTCTTATATACAACAGGCAAGTGCGTACATTTGCTTTTCCTAACAAAAAAGTTTAAAAGCAATGAAAATGTTAAATTTATCTCGCTCATAAAACTGGATCAATTTATCTCGGTGTTTGAGGACGCAATTTTTTTCGTCGCGTTATACGAATTCACATTTTACGGCAGGGTTTCCCAACTTTTTTGTGTCATGCTCCACCTAAGCTTTTGTAAAATTCTCATGTCCCCTATGTAACATGTACATAATTTTTAATATTCAAAAACTGAATTGTTCACTGAAGAAACTTTTTTAGGAAGAATCACTAGAAAATTGTTGCGAAACACAGTAAGTAAATTTTCAATATAATGGAGAACTTAAATTCAATTACGAAATTATTTTAATAAAACATTTTTCTATATTATTTTAATTATTAGTAATTATTTACTAGTTAAATTTAGTGAGATCCTTGTGCTTGATGCAAAGAGATTTCATTTCAGGTTCCAATTTAGTTAGCTTCAGTCTCAAGTCTCCCCGTTGTGTTACATCCTGCCGATTTCTTTCTCTTTCCCATTTTCGAATTGCACCCCTTAACAATAAAATTGCCCCCATGTGGGGCGCGGTCCCCCCACGCTGGGAAACACTGTACTATACTAAAGAAACATCTTAAACTGCCTGTAGTACATTTATCTTTCTTGAAAAAGTCGGTACGATCGTACGGATACAAAATTTAATAAAAACAATTTTTAAGATGAATGAAAAAATCGTTTACAAAATTCCGTCTTTACAAACATGAAACAAATCAAGTTAAATAAAAGTGTGTAAAAAGGTAATAATAATAAGATTCTTTACAAATTGATATCTGTGTAAACAGCAGCAATCAGTAACACTGTGCGAAAAACATCTTTTCTCAATGTTCCTTTAAAATAGTTATTCGTAGTTACTACTGTCACTGCGTAACTCAATTCTTCGCCAGCAAAGCGGAACACGATACAAATAAATAATGTATGCAACACGTGCGAAAAGTTTATTGAAACACCTTTCACCATCCACTTCGCATGAGAGCCAAATTTAAACATTTCCTACAACTACTTATGCTGATGTCTTCACGGCGTTTTATCACTGCCGTTCAAAATTCTACTCACTCTCATGGCGTTACTAGGGTAACCCCTGGAGCGTGCAAGCAAGTGGTCGGATTTTATCTAATACAGCAGCTGAAAATTGAGGGAAATGACATCTGCTTGCATTTTTGCAGTGGCGCAACGGGCAGCTTCACTACTCGCCTCCCCCAGGGACGTCATAGTTCAGTTCCGCAATAACATACTTTTACTAACATTTAAACCTCGAAGTTAACCCACCGTTAGCCGCAATTATTTTCATCTTTTTAAAATATGTAAGGTATCCATTAAAATATGCCAAGTAGTTTCAATGAATTCAACTTCTTTTTCATAAAACCGGAAATTACCGAATTTCCCTCGTGATCTAATGTCTGATGGTTCTTATCTCGCTTGGTCTAACACACTAGCGAAGTCCTCGAATCGCGATAAAGGCGAAGTATGGCATCTTCTGTCGGTGAAAGCAACTTTGGAACACCTAAGGAACAACAGAGATAGAAATCTAATTTATCTCCAGTATATGGGGATAGGTTGCCTTCCTAGAGAGCATTCATGGGAAATTGGCCCTTATTTGTGTTTCGCTTGGAGGAAAACCTCTAGTAGCCAGTTACACCTCAATGAGCATTCTTTGCTAAACGAGCCAACGATGTGTTTTATAGACGGAATGCACGAACTTCGAGATCTCAACCTCCGGTGCACTGCGGTTTTTAATTAATTAATTGGCCATAATAATGCTGATGTACCCATAAATTAAGAGGTTCCGCAAAAAATTAATTTGCTTTTTTATACCTAGAATGGAATTTCTTTGCTCAAGTGCATATCAGTCTTTTCGAAAGTTTTTAATACTGATCGTTAAGAGCACAGAACAGAACGCCGTCCCTTACCCCCGTACCCGTGACCAGACCGGTCACTGAACGGTTTGATGGGCAAGCCACGGGAATTTTATTTAAGGAAAAGAAAAACAAGATAAACAAAAAGAAATAAATATTTACACCATGTTACAGCACAGGCATTTTCACTTTTACACTATTAGTTCGTAATAGTCTTCTTTTCTTTGGATGTTGAAATACCTTTCTTTTATTTGGAGGTGGAATGTCCGGTGATTGAGCTACTTAGTTCAGCTCGCTGGGATGTTGAAAGCTAGGGAGGCCGGAAAAGATCTCTGTTTTCGCTAAGAGCACAGCCAGGTTTAGTTTAGTTATATTAACGCCTCGTTTTGAAGCAACACAAGGGCTATTTTAGGACGGACCTCGTAGTTTTGAACCGCAGTCAGATGACGAGACGATACCTGAGCTGGCACCCCCTTCTCCAAACATCTGCACCACACCAGAGGGAAGACGTTTAACCCCCTACATATGATTTAAGTTACAACAGGCCCACATACACAGTCAGTGGCGTAGCGATAAGGGGGCAAGGGGGTATATATACCCCTGTCGTCAGTCTTAGGGGGTACATTGGAGACAAAACTTTAGTGTGCATATATCACTTTTCAAAGACAATTTTGATGAGGGTACGAAAAAAT